CATTTGCGGTCCGGGATCATTTGCGTTCCTGGGATCATTTGCGCACCCGTACAGATCGCTTTCTCTTTCGGTTATCGAAATTTCAATGCTTTCGAGACACAAATTTGCCCTTTCGATGGCGTTTTCGGTTAGCGTGAGGTGTTCCTGCATTCCTTCAAGTTCCAAAACTAATTCGTATTCCTCGCTGGCCCGCTCGTGTTCTTTAAGCGCTTCTTCAATTTTCGCGGCTAGCTCGCGTAGTTTCCTTCGGCTTCCACGCGACTTCAGAAGATTCTAAGCGACGTTAATATGCCTCGTGAGCGTAGCCTTTCGGCGAGATAACTTGCTCTTAGCCTTTTCCTTTCGAAAATTCCAGTTGTCGCCCAACGACGACACTTATTTCTTGTTCGTCAACATATTGCATGTGGTCGGACTCATGACAAGTTCCTTCGATGACATTTAAACTCACAAACTCCTCATATCAAACGAAAATTCATCGAAGCAAATGTTCAATGTTGCGCACCAGTAAACTCGCTCTGCTACCAGATGTTCAGGACGATTTCACGTAGTTTCAAGACGACAAAACGGTAAACCTTTTCCGACGATTTATTCTTAACGAACGGCAACAACGTAATGCGACACAACCACTGAAAAAGATGTAAAGGTCAGTCGATCACGTGTAACGCAACGTGTCACGTGCCCGCCAAAACCCGGTTAAGTTACTTTCAGGGCCGGGTTGTTAAAAAGCCGGTTAACGTTTAGGATTAAAAGTTAACCCAAATATAAATTTTTCTTGTATAAAAATGTTGCTCACTTCTTATGGTTTATGTAGTTTGAGATTAATCAAGCTTAAAACTGAAGGACAAAGGATATAAACAGAAAACCTCACCGAAAAAAAAAACTGAAATCAAATTTCTCGCTAATCCTGGTTTAGCTTAACCAGGCTTTAAACAACCCGTCCCCCAGAAAATTCTTCTTTCTAGTTGATAAATTTTGTATTTATTTCTCTAAATACATCTACCTGTACTGTTTTCCTTCAGGATTTAGGACACCTTCCTGAAACAAAGATCCAAAAGTTTCCGCATGAACCAGAAATGCTGGCAGATCAGTTTAGCACAGAGGATATGTTCCTACAACACAAACAGCGCCAGCAGAAGCCATTGCAACGCCTCTACCAAGAGAAGGGATAAGTCAACATGGGTGAGCGTAACATTTTTAACTAATAAGAAATCTTCTTTTGCTGAATTCACCCCTCGCTCACAACTCAGCAGCACCTTTTTTTCAAAATTAAACCCTTGGCAATTATTTTTGTTTCTTTTTCTTCCCTCCTTTCTTCCTTCCTTCCTTCCTTCCTTCGTTCCTTTCTTCCTTCACTCATTCATCCATTCATTCGTTGATTTATTCGTTCTTTCGTTCGTTCATGTCATTCAGCCATTCTCTCATTTTTCCATTTTTTCGTGCGTTCGTTTGTCCAATTGATTCACTCATTCATCTAATCATTGTTGTTTCCTTAGTTTGTTTGTTCATTCGCTCGTTGGTACGTTTGCTCGTTCGTTCGTTCGTTCGGTCGGTCATTTACGTTCATTTACCCGTTTACTCATTCTTCCAATCGTTCTTTCGTACACTCATTTTGGTCTTTAGTCATTAACTGATCAGTTCATTTATTTCTATTTCGAATTTTCAGGAGAACTCAGTCCAATTGTACCATGAATTCGATGATGATAAACGAGTCCATAGACTCGACCGGAGCAGAATAGATATTTCCAATAGGTTAAAACACTAGTATAAACTTCAAATAAATTAGCATTTTGATATCAAAATGTGTAAAAATATCATGTAGGTTTATAAATTTGCTATCAGTCCACAAAAACGTTCTTAGTAAAACACTAGATATCTTCAGAATGACATACATGAAAACTTCACATACAGTAAAACCCTCTTTGTAAGAAGCTAGTGGTTTAGATCCTGCTGGCAGAAATTTGCCATTTTAATACCCAAAGATGTAGGGACCTGTTTAGCCAAACAGGTCCCTACAAACAGGCTCTCATATGTGTGTTGGTCACAGTTAAATTATGATAAGCATTTTGACCTAGGAGTGTGACTTTGTGATTGCAAATTTATTTACGAGAAAATTCATAATACAGGTGTGAATAAATACTGTATATTCAAGGACCAAAACCAAGTTAATTTATTTTCTGGTAATCAACAACTAAACATCTCCTTCATAGAAATTAGAACCTGATTAATAACCTACTTAGCCTAAATTGTCAATAACTACCCCAAAATACAAGAACCTTTTGTGCCAGATTTAAAATGAAAGTTCTTACACGCGGGTTTTTACTGTAGTTAAGGTTACCGCATACCATCGGGTCGGCAATTTTCTTCAAATTTGGCTTTTTGGGTCAAAGTAGTGGTCGAAGATTAATCTTGAATTTCTGAAATAAATTTTTGAAAAAGGCTAAATATTGGCGGAGAAATGGCGGTTTTTCGTTTTTGCCGGAAGTAAAAGTTTACCTCTTTAGTGACAACCCTATGGCGCGTAGGCAATCAACCGAGACGATTTTCGCGGGAATTACCTGTACGGATGTCACGAATTGACTTCTCAGTTGATCA